TAATCACGCCCATAAGCTAAGTTGGCCATCCATTACCAAACAATAATTTTAGATGTTTATATGGTCAAAAGTGATCAAAGAAGCTTAAAAGTGGATGGCAAGTCATTTAGCAAATAAGGCCAATGTATTTCACCGTATAAGGGTTAATATATTTCATATACTCCGTATATATATGTAGCTTGTGAAATTAAAGTAAACAAATGATCAGTGTGTATTAAATCCAGGAAGCTTGTGATAAATGAAGTTTGAAAAGACGAACCAGCTTATCCAATTATCCGTATACTAAGCGTACTTTCTACGTGGAAAATAATGAAACCAAACACGTGGTTCCGGAATGAAAAATCTGTTGTGATCCATTCCATTTCCTTGGGGCCAAGAGCCACGTTTTCCTGCGATATGTTGGTTCTGATGTGTAAGAAATTAATGCTATGTTTGGTTGGGAGGAGAAAATGAGAATTAGAAAATTGAGGAAAGAAAATAAAGACACCAAATAAAGAAATACAAACAATTAGGCCAGTGTAGGTATCCAAAAATATGGTTTAAATATATCGAATGAATTGACCCTTGGTTGCAATATTTCAGCCAGGCATTGAGGAGTATATTAGAATAATGTTAAAAGTGGTATTCTGTATTATTATAACGTTATATATACTTCGTATTATGGATGAGCATATTGGTTCTTGAGTGAACAAAGTTTGTTTTTTATATAAAGAAAAACGCATCTTTGCAAAACAAATCAGACATGATCCACTAAAGGTCGAGGTAGGTGAAAGATTTTGACAATAAATACAGCATTAGCGTTGAAGAAAAAGAGTCTAGTGAAATACGTAGTACATTTCTTTCTCTATTATAGTTTTTCTTTGAAGAAATAGTCAAAATCAAGAGTAAACCCCTAGCAAAAAAAATTCAAGAGTAAACCACCAATCAAAGTTCAATATCATAAATATCTCTCTTAAAATTTTGCCATTATTCAATTGTCTATTAAATTAAATTTTAACCGATAATATATACTCCCTCCGTTCCCACAAATTTTTTTCAACTTTCCATTTTGGGCTGTTCCCAAAAATACTTCCCACTTACTAAATAAGGAAACTTCCTACTACTAAAAAACCTATCTTACCCCTTAAAATATTTACCCTCTTCACTTACTCTCTTTCCCACTTACACTCTGCCCCCACTTTGCTCGTTCCATTCTCTCTCTCGCATTATCTCACCCCCTCTCTCCTTGTCTCTCACGGTTCCGATGCACCGCCTCCCATCATCCTCTCATCCCTCTGTTTCCGATGCATCGCCTCTCCTCCTTTCTCTGAACCAAAATCCACAACAACCCTAGCTTATCTGTTGATCTAATCGTCTGTCCTTGATTGAAATCCGTAAACCTAACATTCGACCTCCATGGATCTAGAATCAAGCTCTGAAACCCTATGTGAAGATCAAGGTCCATACTATGCTTGCATAGGCGTCCTGATGGTGCCGGACAGTGAAGTCGAGCCAGATGATGATCTCGATGTGGACCACGGTAAAACTTCGGTGGACCTTGTGGTTCCGGAGACCGAAGAGGCATCGGATGGGGACGATGATGAAGGTCCGATGGAACTAGTGGTTCCGGACTGATAAGTCCGTATTTAGACACGCATTTGATGTGTGTTGGGATTGGATTTTGATGGTTTTCCTAGCTTTAAGGTGTTGCAAGTCTCAATTTTAGCTCAAGTTATGTTGACCAGGCGTTGGTTCGAGTTTTGTGTCATTTGGAGTCAAAATCAAGAATTTAGAGTTCGGCACTGGCGCTTGAGGAGAAATCGGGATGATTCTAGAAGCATTTGAGATTGATTTAAGATCTTTGGAGGTCAGCAGGAGGTTCACGATGAAGATTTGATGACAAAAGAGCTCTAGGATTGGCTACGGGGTCAAAAGAAGATGAATGAACCTTGAAAACGACGATCAGGAAGACCTTCTGTCAAACGTTCAAGCATATCTCTTTGTAGAAACAACCAATGGACACGATTCAAGTTCCATATGAAATCTAACTTCAAGTGCTACAAATGATATGAAGACACCTTTGCGAGAATCTGAGAGGAAGAAGGTGAAAACAGACGATGAAGTCAGATGATCTCTTCTGCGATTTCAGAATGATACCTTCCACCGTTTTGATCATAGCTCTTGATTGGATAATTAAAATCACATTCGGCAAATTGGGTTGGATAGAAGACTTCATTATCTACAACTTGCATGAAGGAGGTTTTGCCAAATTCGGAAGTTAAGTAGGCACTATTGTGCCCTCAAAGTCAGGCACGGTCATGCGTGAAGAGAAAGAACCGCGGAGTTACTGCCAGCCAAGCACGATCGTGCCTGGAGGGAGGCACGATCGTGCCTGCCCAAAATGCGCGTTTTTGCTTCGGAGGCATGATCGAAGGCACGATCGTGCCTGGCACCGTGCCTGGCTTCGAAAATCCCAATTCAGCTCAAATTTGACCCGATTTTTCTATTTAAACAGCCTGTTAACCACCGTTTTCAAGGGGGAGCTTAGAGAGAGTTCCTAGCACGAATTTAGAGGTCTTTTCAGCCTTGTTCATCAATCTTTTGGGATTCTTTGTAAGTTCCGCCTTTTTAATTAATGGCAATTAATTCTTTTTATTCCAATTCTATTTATTCTTCAATTATGAATTGTGAGTAGTTTTAATTAGGGATTTGGGATTGATAAAGGGGTTGATCATGATGTATGGCTAGATTTTTGATGGGTTAATTGAATGAATGACGTTTAATTTGTGTTTGAATAATTTAACTGATATCTTTTGTAACCTAGAACGCGCGCTAGAATTACAATTGCTTGTAGAATAAATTAAGAGAGATCTAGTTTATTCTAGGACACCTTCACACACACTTAATCGTTCGCTAAGAGATTAGTAGCGATTAAGGGGCCGTAAGCTCGCTCGTCTTGGCAATAATTTAGGATCCTGCCGCATGAGAGATCAGCCTGGTCCCCTAAATTATTGTACTCTACGCCGCGAGAGCGGTAAGAACTTAGTAATGATTAGTTAGGTTCAATTGAATTAATTTCATGTAATTAGGCCTGATCTGCCAGAAATCTGGTTACCCCGGAATCAATCCATGTTCCCTTCGTCATTAATTAGAGAGAACCCATTTATTTTAATCATTTAGTTGCATTTTAATTTTTCATACCAATCATATCTCGCACGACGCATTTATTTTATTTATTTCTTTTAATCGCTGAATTTAATTAATTCTTGATTCGCTTTTGTCTGTCCCTGTGGAGACGATACTCGTACTTACACCACTATATTACGATCTATTTTAAGTGCAAGAAAACACTCATCACGGACAGTGAAGAGGAGGAGGCTGAGGACGATAATGAAGCTTTGATGAACGTAGTGGTTCCAGACTGTGAAGAGGTATTGGATGAGGACGATGATGAAGCTTCGATAAAGGTAGTGGTTCCCGACAGTGAAGAGGAGGAGGAAGTTCACCGGGCCAAGCAGGTTGTGGTTCTGGACAGTGAAGAGGCTAAGGAGAAAAGACAGAAAGAGGTTGAAATGCACCCAATACGCATAAATCCTCGTCTAGAAGACTTCCTAAAGCTCATCCTACCCGGCTGGGAATCTAGGATGTGGGACGTGGATGTATGACTTCTTTCCCAATCAGGGGAGTTACTCTCTTAATCTCTTTTCCTATGTTTGACTCCTCTATCTTGTTTGTCTGTGTGTGACATCGTGTATGGCTATTGTTGTGCACTTGATTGTGTGCCTGGGCTTACATATACGTTGTGTGTGTAGTGCAATGTTTGTTTTGGGGAAGCAATGATGAAAATATGGTGTTTCTTTTTTCAGAAATTCTTTGTAAAGAATGTTGGCTGCTTAAAGAAAATGTGTAACACCGGACCCGAATTTTACCCAGATAAATTTTTTTCGTAAAGTACTTGGTTAAAGAAGGTAAATCAAAACTAAGGGTAGTCTTGATAAATGAGGAAGTAAAAATTTTGTCTTAAATTAATAAAGGGTTATTAATTTAGACGTGGGGAGCACTCATGATATTTCGAGTTTATAAAATATTAATGTTTATCAAAATGATACTATTATGATAGTAGGAATGGGTCGTGGACCCCATTGTTATAAAGAGCGACAACTGGACGGCCGAGCGGGCCAGGGCCACTATTCGATAGTGGGGAGTCCTTAACTATCGGACTGTCAATAATTCGTAGGACTACGAATTTATAACAGAAGAAATATAAACATTCTAAGAAACCAAAATAATGGGATGAATAATATTGATTAACTTGGTATATTAAAGGATGGTACTTTTGGAGGACCCTACCTTAAAGATATTTTATTTTGGGAACAAACAGATAAGATTTTATCTGTTTTTACATTTGGGATCACTTAAAAAGATGTGTAGCATTTTATTAAAATGTCACAAAATATCAATACACATATTGAGTCATGAGAAATTGCTAATGAATTTACGAGATGACGCGTTCTCATTTTTACTGTTACTTGAACAGTAAAATACACGTTGGGCCCACACGTGAGTGACGACCATCCGATATTTACGGACCACATATTATATTCATCTTGGTCTAGATAATATTTATATGAGGTTGTAAATAAATTGAGCCATAAAGTTGGCCTTTCGATCAAACGAGGTCCCATTACCGGTATAGGTAATTAAACAGATAACAGCCCGAAATTAATTTCGGCGACCACGAAATTAAAGTGGGATAATATATATTCATTCTAAAGGCCAATATTAATTGGAAGAATGATATATATTTTATTTGACCCGATAAAATGAAATTTAATTAAAACAGTCCAGAAAATACAACTTTCGGGGCCGAATGTACACTTCGGGACTTAAAGGGATGACCTCCCACATGGGTGGGGGCCACCCCACGATTTTGTCAATCAAATAACTCTGGATTGACTCATGTTGGGGCTGTGAGACAAAGGAAAATGGGGGAAGGACCAAACATAATGTGCAATGGGACCATTTCCCATATAATTGAAGAACAAAGCCAAAAAGCTTATCATCTCACCCAACCACTCCCAAAAATTCGGCCACACACTCTCAAGGAGGAGGAGGAGCTCTGAAAATATCATCCTCCATAGCCATGAACCGAGCTCATGTTTGAAGGAGGTTCAAGGAAGAAGAAAAGCTTGGAAAAGAAGAGAAAAACTTAGTAAAATTAAGGTAATGACTTCATTAGTATTTTCCTCCTTCATTTTAATCTCATATGATTTTATAAATCATATGATAGACTTTTAAAATTGTTCTACACTTCTAGAGGTGTAGAATGAGGGTTTGAAAGATTAAGTTTAACCACGAACGGAGTTATGACCGGAGTAAGACCGGTTCACCGGAAAACACCTTCTTGGAAGGTTTTGACGTTTATACCACTTTTGGTTGTGAAACCTTGTTAGGAATTTTACCAAGGTATTCTAGACTTCTCAAGGAACCTAGGAGTGGCCGGAAAGTCGCCGGAGCCGCCGGAGTTTTCGCCGGAAAATTCAAAAGTCACCGGAGTTCAAACAAAGAAGATAAAAGCTTGCTAGCGCCATTTCAAGGTGAGTGGACGACTACGTGTCTTGTAACTCTTGGGTCAAACGTGGGATTACCTAAATAAAATCCTTATCATGATTTGAGAAATGATTAAATGGATTAAAATGCATGATTAGTCATGGTGAATATGAATTATGGAAATATTACATGGTTAATGAATAAGAGATTTAATTGTGGATTAATCATGAATATATTATTGTCAAATGTATAAAAAATGCATACATGGACTATGTATGATATAACTAGAGTAATCTAGTATGTGAATATGTATAAGAATGTTTAAAAGTGTTTAACCATGTGATTAGCTATAATGATTATAAGTCATGTGAAAATGGCATGATTAATGAGTAAAAGAATTATTAATATTTTGATGAACGATAATCATGGATGATTTGGTTAAGGTAATTCAAGATGGTATTCTTGAAGGATTTAAGTACATAATCATATGTGTCATTAAATTAAATCTAGTTTGAAGAATAAACTAGAATGAAATATATAAATGATTAATAAGTATGAAGTACTTATTAATAGTTATGAGAAGACGGCTATATGCTTTATAACTTTTGATTGAGGCATGAGATTACCTAAAGTAATCAAGTATATATATTTTATGGAATGACTAAAGTTAATCAAGTATTGGCTTATGCCATGGTTGTATATAAAACATAGTTGAAAGGCATGTTTTGTATGTTTGATGATTAAAATGTGATAACTTATTATGTACAATGCTCCAAGGATCCAAATTGGTATTTTTGGATCAAGGACGTCAAGGAGTACATGCGTATAAAATTTCGCGTTAATCGGACTCCGTTTGGGCGGTCAAACGGGCGTTGACCGCCGAGGCAAAGGTGATACCCGACCGGGTATGGGTACATACCCGACCGGGTATTGATTAAAAATGGCTCCAGAAGCCACTGTCCTACTAGACCCGACCGGGTAAGGGTATGGACCCGACCGGGTCTCAAGTAAAATCAGTTCCAGGGGCTTCTGCCCCGACCTACCCGACCGGGTGAGATTGGATACCCGACCGGGTATTGGACTAGGCCCAAAACAGGCAGTTTTGAGCAGGTTAACGTGGGTCGTTCGGGTGGGACCTGTCCACATTGGTTGCTAAGGCTTCAAATACGGTTTAAACGCTAAGACTTGGACTAGTCGTTAGTAAAGAAATTATAGACCACGACCGGGCGAGGTACGTGGTAGATTATACATGGCGGGTGAATACCCGGGACCGAGTAAGGTTGGGTAAAACTCTGTAGGACCAGGAGGAGTCCTTTATACTCAAATGTTAACAAGGGCCCGTGTAGTCCTTGAGGTGTGTTAACCTCCAGCAAATTACACATAGGTAACAAGGGCAAATGCAGTCCTTGAGGTGTGTTAACCTCCATCAAATTGCATATAGGTAACAAGGGCCCGTGTAGTCCTTGAGGTGTGTTAACCTCCAGCAAATTACACATAGGTAACAAGGGCAAATGCAGTCCTTGAGGTGTGGTATCCTCCATCAAATTGCATATAGGTAACAAGGGCAAATGCAGTCCTTGAGGTGTGTTTAACCTCCATCAAATTGCATATAGGTAACAAGGGCAAATGCAGTCCTTGAGGTGTGTTTAACCTCCATCAAATTGCATATAGGTAACAAGGGCAAATGCAGTCCTTGAGGTGTGTTAACCTCCATCAAAGTGCATATAGGTAACAAGGGCAAGTGTAGTCCTTGAGGTGTGTTTAACCTCCATCAAATTACACATAGGTAACAAGGGCCCGTGTAGTCCTTGAGGTGTGTTAACCTCCAGTAAATTACACATAGGATGAGGGTGTATGCGTACTCCTCAAGGCGCGGTTATCCCGGAAATGAAAACTATGATAGCAAGGACGGATAGTCCTCGCGGTAGGTGAACATCAAGGTAATGATGTTAAATGATTAAACGTGCTTGGTCGGGAACGAGTTTCCGATATGATATTTTCCTTGGTCTAGGAATTGATTTAAACCACGTCCGTGATATGGGGGTCTGAATGGACCCACAGTAATTATATTTTGATATCGGGTGAGTTAGCCTGCGGGTGACTCCACTCGAGGGTGAGATACGGGAAGGGTGAGTTTAATGAGGCTGTTACGCCTAAATGATTTGAAAGACAAATGGGCCCACGGGCCAGATATTTTGCTCATATGTATATATGTATACATTTTGTTTTGAAAAGGGGTAGCTAAGAGTTATGCCCATAATTATACTATCACCCTATTTTGAGGGTCTCATGTGAGAAACGTTAGTTACATTACATACAGTTTGCCCTCACCAGTACTTTTCTGTAGTACTGATCCCTCGGGGGAACCACCCTTTCAGGTTGAAGCTAGAGCTTACTTCCTGCACCCGTTGCTCGGGAGATCGATGGAGGGAAGACGTGGTTCGTGCTTCCTCTGTTTCTATTTCTAAATAATTAAATAATGCTCATGGAACTATTTTGACTTATAAATTAATGGAGCCTGCGAGCTCTTGTTTTACCCTCGTGTGGGTTCTTATTAAACACTTATATTCCGCGATGTGTTTAATTGTATGTTGATGTTGTTATGTATGTTTACTAATCGGTTTTGGCATATGTATCTAACAGACGTCTTGTGCAATTCGGTAAGGATGAACTGCGGTTATCCTTATTGGGTTGTACGACGGTTGTCCACGTGGCACAGACGCGGTCTGGGGCGTGACAATTAAGTGGTATCAGAGCCAAACGATTTCTAAACTATATAGTCAACCTCTCAACAGAGTTTCTATCAAAACAGTTTTCAATGAAAAACCATGAGCATAAGTTTTGTACTTTAAGAGCATTTGGTTATCGAGTTGCAAGGTCTCTGGTTGTTAAGATGGGCCCCTTAACAATTGGTATGGCAGTGACTTGAGCCAAGTTGTGTCTTGAGTACGTTTCTGTCAATTGACATTCAAACGAGTCCAACGACTCATTCCAATATATTCTTTCAGGAATGGGTGGTAGTGATAGGGCGGTTCGAGGAAATCCGAGAGGGCGCGGACCGGGGATAGCCGGGCAAGCCAATCGGGGGATATCAAGGTCGCGTAAAAGGCGAGGTATGGGCAACCAAGGCCCACAAACACGAGCCGCGATGGCTGATCACAATGTGACTGAATTCGAGTCGTGGAACTCGGAGGATGACTCAACTTATCAGCCTGAAAGTGAGTCTGAAGAAACTTCTTTTGAAGGAAATGATGGAGAGGATATGCACAGTATTCCTCCTGATCAGATTAGTGAGATGTACCGATGGTACCAGCGGGAAAGGGAAAGGCAACGACAGAGATCCCAGATGGGACATGTCAGAGACGACACCTCTCGCAGGAGGGGTCGGGGTGCTCATAGAGTACAGGTTAAGACAATTAGAGATTCTGATGGTGAATGACCATTCATTAAGATCTCAAAGTACCTCAAAGAGGCTAGGGCCTTGGGGTGCAAACCGTTTGATGGGACGGGGGATATCTCGGAAGCGGCCGAGTGGATAAAAAGGTTAAATGATGCAGCCGATGACATGCAAGTGGTCCCTGATCGGAAGTTAAGGGTAGCCACTAGATTGTTGGAAGGTTTAGCTTCTACTTGGTGGGAAGGCATCAAGGGTAAGTTCGACGGAGTTGTCACGTGGGACAACTTCGAGCAATCATTCTATGAACAGTTTTATACCTCTTTCGAAGTTAATCGAAAGAGGAGGGAATATACAAATCTCAAGCAGGGCAATGAGTTTACGGTAAAGCGATTAGAACAAAGGTTCCGACATTTGGCAAGGTTCTTGCCTGAATATGCCACCAATGAGGATCGAATGGCGAACCATTTTTGGAATGCACTGAATTTGGAGGTACGCGAAAGGGCGACCTATCAATTCAACATGACTTTTAGTCAAGTAGTAGCCCAGGGTCTCCAGGGGGAGGAGCTTTGGGAGGAAAGGCAAGCAAGGGGTGCTAAGGAAGCACAAGAAAGGGATCAGATGATCAATCATCCTCTGCGACGAGAGAGGAAGTATGACTTTCAAAACGAGGGGGACTCTAGCAAGTTAGTTCCATTTTCAAAAGGGAGCAAGGACTGGGTAAGTCAAAGCTCAAGCACTCGGGGCACGGGAGCACCCAAATGTGAGAATTGTAGGCGAAAGCACTACGGGATATGTCTAGAACCATCTAGATGCTACTTTTGTGGAGAAACGGGCCACATAAAGGCTCTTTGTCCTCAACGTGTACGGGGAGGAGCCTTGGGGGCCCACAGGGGAGTCACGGAGGTTGCAAACCCAACAGGGATTGTTTCAAATGTTTTACCATCCACCAATCGGGGAAGAACTCGCTCGTGAAGGCAATGAATGACAGAAGCCATTTGTGGGAATGACTATGACATAAGGTAATATTAATTTAAACCCTTCATTTCAAAAAAAATTGATGTTGAAAATGGTTAGCTTCAATTAATGAAGGGGGGAGTGTTTCTCAAGGTTAAGACGCTAATTTCGGGGACGAAATTCCAGTAAGGGTGGGTGAACTTGTAACACCGGACCCGAATTTTACCCAGATAAATTTTTTTCGTAAAGTACTTGGTTAAAGAAGGTAAATCAAAACTAAGGGTAGTCTTGATAAATGAGGAAGTAAAAATTTTGTCTTAAATTAATAAAGGGTTATTAATTTAGACGTGGGGAGCACTCATGATATTTCGAGTTTATAAAATATTAATGTTTATCAAAATGATACTATTATGATAGTAGGAATGGGTCGTGGACCCCATTGTTATAAAGAGCGACAACTGGACGGCCGAGCGGGCCAGGGCCACTATTCGATAGTGGGGAGTCCTTAACTATCGGACTGTCAATAATTCGTAGGACTACGAATTTATAACAGAAGAAATATAAACATTCTAAGAAACCAAAATAATGGGATGAATAATATTGATTAACTTGGTATATTAAAGGATGGTACTTTTGGAGGACCCTACCTTAAAGATATTTTATTTTGGGAACAAACAGATAAGATTTTATCTGTTTTTACATTTGGGATCACTTAAAAAGATGTGTAGCATTTTATTAAAATGTCACAAAATATCAATACACATATTGAGTCATGAGAAATTGCTAATGAATTTACGAGATGACGCGTTCTCATTTTTACTGTTACTTGAACAGTAAAATACACGTTGGGCCCACACGTGAGTGACGACCATCCGATATTTACGGACCACATATTATATTCATCTTGGTCTAGATAATATTTATATGAGGTTGTAAATAAATTGAGCCATAAAGTTGGCCTTTCGATCAAACGAGGTCCCATTACCGGTATAGGTAATTAAACAGATAACAGCCCGAAATTAATTTCGGCGACCACGAAATTAAAGTGGGATAATATATATTCATTCTAAAGGCCAATATTAATTGGAAGAATGATATATATTTTATTTGACCCGATAAAATGAAATTTAATTAAAACAGTCCAGAAAATACAACTTTCGGGGCCGAATGTACACTTCGGGACTTAAAGGGATGACCTCCCACATGGGTGGGGGCCACCCCACGATTTTGTCAATCAAATAACTCTGGATTGACTCATGTTGGGGCTGTGAGACAAAGGAAAATGGGGGAAGGACCAAACATAATGTGCAATGGGACCATTTCCCATATAATTGAAGAACAAAGCCAAAAAGCTTATCATCTCACCCAACCACTCCCAAAAATTCGGCCACACACTCTCAAGGAGGAGGAGGAGCTCTGAAAATATCATCCTCCATAGCCATGAACCGAGCTCATGTTTGAAGGAGGTTCAAGGAAGAAGAAAAGCTTGGAAAAGAAGAGAAAAACTTAGTAAAATTAAGGTAATGACTTCATTAGTATTTTCCTCCTTCATTTTAATCTCATATGATTTTATAAATCATATGATAGACTTTTAAAATTGTTCTACACTTCTAGAGGTGTAGAATGAGGGTTTGAAAGATTAAGTTTAACCACGAACGGAGTTATGACCGGAGTAAGACCGGTTCACCGGAAAACACCTTCTTGGAAGGTTTTGACGTTTATACCACTTTTGGTTGTGAAACCTTGTTAGGAATTTTACCAAGGTATTCTAGACTTCTCAAGGAACCTAGGAGTGGCCGGAAAGTCGCCGGAGCCGCCGGAGTTTTCGCCGGAAAATTCAAAAGTCACCGGAGTTCAAACAAAGAAGATAAAAGCTTGCTAGCGCCATTTCAAGGTGAGTGGACGACTACGTGTCTTGTAACTCTTGGGTCAAACGTGGGATTACCTAAATAAAATCCTTATCATGATTTGAGAAATGATTAAATGGATTAAAATGCATGATTAGTCATGGTGAATATGAATTATGGAAATATTACATGGTTAATGAATAAGAGATTTAATTGTGGATTAATCATGAATATATTATTGTCAAATGTATAAAAAATGCATACATGGACTATGTATGATATAACTAGAGTAATCTAGTATGTGAATATGTATAAGAATGTTTAAAAGTGTTTAACCATGTGATTAGCTATAATGATTATAAGTCATGTGAAAATGGCATGATTAATGAGTAAAAGAATTATTAATATTTTGATGAACGATAATCATGGATGATTTGGTTAAGGTAATTCAAGATGGTATTCTTGAAGGATTTAAGTACATAATCATATGTGTCATTAAATTAAATCTAGTTTGAAGAATAAACTAGAATGAAATATATAAATGATTAATAAGTATGAAGTACTTATTAATAGTTATGAGAAGACGGCTATATGCTTTATAACTTTTGATTGAGGCATGAGATTACCTAAAGTAATCAAGTATATATATTTTATGGAATGACTAAAGTTAATCAAGTATTGGCTTATGCCATGGTTGTATATAAAACATAGTTGAAAGGCATGTTTTGTATGTTTGATGATTAAAATGTGATAACTTATTATGTACAATGCTCCAAGGATCCAAATTGGTATTTTTGGATCAAGGACGTCAAGGAGTACATGCGTATAAAATTTCGCGTTAATCGGACTCCGTTTGGGCGGTCAAACGGGCGTTGACCGCCGAGGCAAAGGTGATACCCGACCGGGTATGGGTACATACCCGACCGGGTATTGATTAAAAATGGCTCCAGAAGCCACTGTCCTACTAGACCCGACCGGGTAAGGGTATGGACCCGACCGGGTCTCAAGTAAAATCAGTTCCAGGGGCTTCTGCCCCGACCTACCCGACCGGGTGAGATTGGATACCCGACCGGGTATTGGACTAGGCCCAAAACAGGCAGTTTTGAGCAGGTTAACGTGGGTCGTTCGGGTGGGACCTGTCCACATTGGTTGCTAAGGCTTCAAATACGGTTTAAACGCTAAGACTTGGACTAGTCGTTAGTAAAGAAATTATAGACCACGACCGGGCGAGGTACGTGGTAGATTATACATGGCGGGTGAATACCCGGGACCGAGTAAGGTTGGGTAAAACTCTGTAGGACCAGGAGGAGTCCTTTATACTCAAATGTTAACAAGGGCCCGTGTAGTCCTTGAGGTGTGTTAACCTCCAGCAAATTACACATAGGTAACAAGGGCAAATGCAGTCCTTGAGGTGTGTTAACCTCCATCAAATTGCATATAGGTAACAAGGGCCCGTGTAGTCCTTGAGGTGTGTTAACCTCCAGCAAATTACACATAGGTAACAAGGGCAAATGCAGTCCTTGAGGTGTGGTATCCTCCATCAAATTGCATATAGGTAACAAGGGCAAATGCAGTCCTTGAGGTGTGTTTAACCTCCATCAAATTGCATATAGGTAACAAGGGCAAATGCAGTCCTTGAGGTGTGTTTAACCTCCATCAAATTGCATATAGGTAACAAGGGCAAATGCAGTCCTTGAGGTGTGTTAACCTCCATCAAAGTGCATATAGGTAACAAGGGCAAGTGTAGTCCTTGAGGTGTGTTTAACCTCCATCAAATTACACATAGGTAACAAGGGCCCGTGTAGTCCTTGAGGTGTGTTAACCTCCAGTAAATTACACATAGGATGAGGGTGTATGCGTACTCCTCAAGGCGCGGTTATCCCGGAAATGAAAACTATGATAGCAAGGACGGATAGTCCTCGCGGTAGGTGAACATCAAGGTAATGATGTTAAATGATTAAACGTGCTTGGTCGGGAACGAGTTTCCGATATGATATTTTCCTTGGTCTAGGAATTGATTTAAACCACGTCCGTGATATGGGGGTCTGAATGGACCCACAGTAATTATATTTTGATATCGGGTGAGTTAGCCTGCGGGTGACTCCACTCGAGGGTGAGATACGGGAAGGGTGAGTTTAATGAGGCTGTTACGCCTAAATGATTTGAAAGACAAATGGGCCCACGGGCCAGATATTTTGCTCATATGTATATATGTATACATTTTGTTTTGAAAAGGGGTAGCTAAGAGTTATGCCCATAATTATACTATCACCCTATTTTGAGGGTCTCATGTGAGAAACGTTAGTTACATTACATACAGTTTGCCCTCACCAGTACTTTTCTGTAGTACTGATCCCTCGGGGGAACCACCCTTTCAGGTTGAAGCTAGAGCTTACTTCCTGCACCCGTTGCTCGGGAGATCGATGGAGGGAAGACGTGGTTCGTGCTTCCTCTGTTTCTATTTCTAAATAATTAAATAATGCTCATGGAACTATTTTGACTTATAAATTAATGGAGCCTGCGAGCTCTTGTTTTACCCTCGTGTGGGTTCTTATTAAACACTTATATTCCGCGATGTGTTTAATTGTATGTTGATGTTGTTATGTATGTTTACTAATCGGTTTTGGCATATGTATCTAACAGACGTCTTGTGCAATTCGGTAAGGATGAACTGCGGTTATCCTTATTGGGTTGTACGACGGTTGTCCACGTGGCACAGACGCGGTCTGGGGCGTGACAAAATGTGATGTTTGATTGGTAATGATAAATGTGTGGGCTGGTTATGGAATGCTTGATGTGCATTGTGTAAGGCATATATGTGTGGACCGGCTAAGGATGGTGTTTGTGTGCTGTGATGACCAAATATGTCTGAGCTTTGCTTGTATGGGTGTTGTGATGACCATATAGGGCTGACCAATGCTTGTATGGGTGCTGTGTTGACCATATAGGTCTGATCAATGCTTGTATGAGGGCTGTGATGACCAAATAGGTCTGAGCTTTACTTGTATGGGTGCTGTGATGACCATATAGGCCTGACCAATGCTTGTATGGGTGTTGTGTTGACCATATAGGTCTGATCAATGCTTGTATAAGGGCTGTGATGACCAAATAGGTTTGAGCTTTGCTTGTGTGGGTGCTGTGATGCCCAAATAGGTCTGAGCTTTGCTTGTATGGGTGCTGTGATGACCAAATAGGTCTGAGCTTTGCTTGTATGGGTGTTGTGATGACCAAATAGGCCTGACCTTTGCTATGAGGCTGCTATGAACCATGTTTGTAAGATTCTGGTATGCTGAATACTTAAATCTGACCATTGTGACCAATGTTAGGGCTACAAAATGACAAAAATAGGCCTCTGCAAAATGACAAAAATCTAGGCCTCTCCTACATATAGGGCTAGTTACTCCTATGAGTCTGTTGGCTTTACCTGTACACACTTCATCTTACAGACTCTGAAGGCCTGTACAAAAATGACAAAAAAGGCTTATACAAAATAACCCAAAAGATTTTAGCAATCTACTGCACATCTTCGTCCTCTTCAATTATGAAATGCCCCTCAGTTTCCTGATGTATGCTTGTAGAAGAGGTTGGATGTTGGGACAAGAAGTCTCCTATGGCTTCTAGCAGTCCAACATCTACCTCAATAGCAATGGGCAGCCTCCCTTCTCTGATCATTGTATCCTTTCCCTTATGTGGCAGCTTGTAATTGTTCCCCCTTCCACCTTCATAACTTCTACCATGACATATTGATAGCTTAACCAAACTGTAACACTTGAGATTTAATATAAATGGATTAATAGTACTACTCATATCAATAGAGGTGCATCTCCTTTTAAGGGAGCTCATCACCCAAGAACTCCAAAGTTAAGCGTGCTTGCATGGGAGTAGTCTTGGGATGGGTGACCCCCTGGGAAGTTTCTCAGGGTGCGCATGAGTGGGGACAAAGTGCGCGGTAAAGGCTTGTGATGGTTTGTGAGGACAGTACTAGAGGTCTGAAGTAACTACCTCAGGGCCTACGGGGCCGGGGTGTTACACAAACCTTGTTCAAAATGATGGGTGAAAGCTCATAGAAAGCTTCATTAACTGCATGTAATAGTTCATCAACATTTCTGGGTGCTTTTTCATCTTTCAATGACTGTATTGCCAAGAAGAATCCTAGGTCTAGTATGTTAAGATCTGGGGAATTGGAGGGTTGGTTAGTCAGGCTTATATTGAAACCATCTCCTTGGGATGCTGCCATGTAATCTGCATCTGACCCTAAAATGTGTGGCCTTGCATTATCCTGTTGGATAACAATATCCTTGCTTAAGCAGTCTGGCCACTTTGCCTTAATTGCTGGTAACACAGTGTTGATTAACATGTCTTTGAACACTTCCTTTGTGATGCTAACTATAGGTTTTGTTTCCATCACCCCCGCATCTCTATTTTGTTTCTCCTTTTGGCTGCTGCCTTTTGAATGAAAGGGAAAGATGCCTAACTTACCGTCCCAAAGTACTTCATTAGTGTCTGAAAAGAGAGGTCTGCCTACTACTCATAGGGACATGACCTTAGTTATGAACCTCTTTGACTTGCACACCCTATGAGGATCCTGCTCATCCAAAACCATGTAGAACCTCTGAGAAGTTTTTGACATGAAAAACTATTTTTCATCAATGTGTATCACATTTTGAAAATTCTGGAATGTTGGCTTACCTGGATTTGAATTGTCAACTTGGTTGTAATAGAACTGTAGTCTGGAAACTTTGTTTTCATTTGTTAAGAAAGGCTTGATAGCATTTGTGTGACTTCTAAGCATACCTTTTTTCAAACATTTGTGCAAAGTTGTCTTTGAAATGCCTGTGGCAGCAACTAGTGCCCTCATATTGGTCCTTTTATACAGTGGAATTTCAGAGATGGAGGTTATATCCACTTCAATTCTTTTCCTTTCTGAATTACCAGCCCACTTACTTCTTACATCCATCGGGTCCCCTTTATTAAGTTGTTTTTTGGCAGTCGCCCATATGCTTGAAATGGATCTTCTAGAAACTTGAAATTCAGTTCCCAATTTACTGAACACACCTTTCTGAGCTACCAACGCCCCAAAATAGTCTGTTTTTGCACTGAGTAAGATTTGATTCATGATACTGTCCCTTTCCATATTTGACAATCTCCTACTTTTGTTGTTGCTGACTGGTTCTTGTGATGCACCCTCATTTGTTATTGTGTGCAGGTTGGTCGGTGAAGAAGATGAAAGAGGAGCATTAGTGGAAGGTGAAGGGGAATCAACATTTATGGCAGCTGCCATTTATGGAAGAAGAAATGCTGACATTTATTATGTGTGTGTGTGAAGTGTCGAGTGCTGTAATGGGAGGTTGGGAGAAACAATGGGGAAATGGGAGTATTTGTAGAAGGAAACATTTGAAAGTCCCTCCAAAAATAGGAGGGAAGTTGTATCCGAAATTTTTTGGGGTGTACTATTCACCTTTTTATCACATCTATCAAATCCTACTTTATTCATTCATTCTTCATAGGAGTAACTTTATTTTTACCCCTCCCCTTTTCGGCCAACCCTCCAAGAGTTTAATTGGAAAGTCAAAGGCTTTGTAGCCTTGCATTAAAAAGCGGTCTGGGTCAAATCGGGAAGGATTTTTGGGAACGGAGAGAGTATATTTTTATAGGATATATTATTGATAATATAAAATTGATGTCGATGACATGTGGAAATGTTCTTCATTGATATTACTTTCATAAAAGTATGGAATATAGGCAAATGACACAAATAATCTCCACTTTTATGCATTTAACAAAAATAATATGTACCCATAAAACATGAATACATATAGCAATGGGTGGGTCAGGGATGGTTCTGTAAAAAAAATTGAATGTAACTGCCCCGTTGAGTCATTTCCATGTCCTGTGACTGCATGATCACCAAACCGTTAATTTTTATCCAATTCATAACCGAACTAGCTAGTAATGCATATTAACGCGGGTAAACATACATTTAATTGTGTTGGTAATTGATTTCTAACATAAAAAGGACAAAAGGCAATATTTTGAAAACCAGAAAATGCCATTGGCTTAGCGTCTCTAAGAGACTGTTTGGCACTACTTTGGCAACACTGTATTTCGGCTTATCGGGCATATCAGCCAACTTTTTCACCAAACATGTAACTTTTGCTTTCGCACGCTGAATTGTGTAACAAGCAGAAAAAGTACGGTTGAAGTTACTTTTTTGGCTGTATTGTCTGAAGTCACTGTAGATGACCATTTTAGCTATTTTTACATATAACTTTTTCTTTGTTTTATTAATAAAATATATTTTAAAAATAATTTTTTTTTAAATCAGCAGAATCAGCAGAATGCAGTCACTTCAGCCAGAACTTCATACCGAGTATATTTCAATAGAATCAGCCAAATCAACCGATTTTCGTGCTACCAAACGAGCTCTAAATGTAAGACACTGCTTAAAAGACTGTGCGCCTACAAGGCTACAAGGTGAGGAAGAAGACAACAAAATGAGAAAAACACTTGAAGCTATTGTGCACTCTCTTTTCATACATTGCTATTAAAGCTACTCCGTATTACCAAACGGGAAAAACATTCCCACTTCTCACATTAAGATCACTTTTAATTTGACCCAAAACCTATTATGTGTGTATCAAGGATTCTATTATTTAGAACAATCCTTAGCTACAAACCCAACGAATTTAAACCTCTCATGTTGTGACGTCATTCAATAGCAAACGTTCAAGGTCGTGTAATAAATCAATAACAATAACAAATTACAAGGGAAATTTCCCGAAATGGGACTAAAAAGTTTGAAAATTCCAAAATAGGACTGTCATGTTTTTATTCCCAAAATAGGACTAATTACTGCCAAAGTTAGAAAATACTGCCATGTTTGAAGTCTGGTACTACCAAAATATGACAGTACTTAGTCCTATTTTGGAAATAAAAATATGGAAGTCCTATTTTGGAATTTCCAAACTTTTTTAGTCCCATTTTAGGTAATATCTCCAAATTACAATGATTCGCTTTTTAATCATGCACCTAGAAATCCCGAATCTGATTCATACTACTCGTAGTATTTTACGAATAAAGAATCGGAAAAACTTTTTTTCGCGTAGGGAAAAGCTCCGCCTTCTCACTAAAAAGTTCACGATATCGGAACTTCTTAGGTCGCGAATCAACAAAGCTCTCTCCTCCATCGATTAATCGGTTAGATTTACCAGTTTGCTGCTCGTAATTCATCTTCTCCAGCCTATTCCTCGATTAGATTGGAAAGAAACTGGATATTACAGCAGAAACTTTGATTTCTTGAGATTTAGTGTTCGCTGCGAACACTGTTCATCGACTTTGATTTTGTGCAACTACTTCAAATCCGACGATTGTTTCCTCAATTCAAGGATCGATTGGGGGTCGCCATCCTCTGGCGAGCCTCCCAATACCTGTTTCAGCTCCTGATTCACCCTCAAACGCAAGATTAGAAAGATCCGTTGGAAGAGAGTACTGTTCTTCACAGATTTCGATTCTTGCAGATTCCTCAACCGCCTGTCGTTTAATCAAAGCTCTGAAGTAAGATTGAGGTTTATCTTGATAAATCGATAGCACTTATCCAGGTTTACCCCATTTCGTCACTACAGTAGCTTCTTCGCAGAACTAGTTAGCAATTTTCTGGGAATGCTCTGGGTATTGGTTTCGAAAACGGTTAATTGTTGTGTGTTTCTCATTACTTCGACATCATACTGTAATTTCTTGAGACTTTTTTAAAAAGTTTGGAAAATTCGTTTAGGTTTGGT